CTATAAAAAAGAATGAAATGCTGCCATTTGCAACAACATGGATGGACCTAGAGAAAATTATTTTAAGTGAAACGAGTCAGGAACAGAAAGAGAAATACCACATGTTCTCACTTATTTGTGGGAGCTAAAAGTAAATAAATACACAAATAAACGGGGTGTGGGGGGGAAGAAGACACAACAGTCACAATTCCTTGAAGTTGTTATGACAAGTGAATAGGTATGAGGTTGTTGGGAAGGAGGGGGGAGGGAGGTTTTGGTAATGGGCCACAATAATCAACCACATTGTATATTGATAAAATTAAATTAAATTTAAAAAACCAAATTCATACACAGTCCTTGCGTAGTTCCTAGAGGGTAGATTGAAGGAGCATGAAGGGAATACATACCCAGACAGGGAAAGGACTTCAGAAGAGTTGATAATTGGGTTGATGATTGAAAGGAGAGAAGCAAGGATATAGTAGTGGGAAAGAGCGTTCCCGGCAGAGGCAGCACCATGAGCAGAGGCTCAAAGGCGTAGAATGAGTAGTTTGCTGTGGTGGGAATCAAGGATTTTAGGTGAGAGAGATGAGACAACATCATGAATGCCGTTCTGGGGAGTTCGGTTTTTCTCCAAGTCCTTTGGGATTTTCAGCAAAGGATATGACATAATCAGAAAACTTTTAGAGAAGACAGCAATGCCTTTCCCTCCAAACCTACTCCTTACACATTTCTTTGCTATCTCATTAATGGCAACTCCATCCTTCTAGTTGCTCAGGCCAAAGTCCTGGGAGTCTTCTTTCACTCATCTTTCTCTCATGTTTCACATTAGTAAAGCCTTTGTTTCTCCTTTGAAAATATATGTGTATGTGGTCTCCAAGACCACTTCCATGTTCAGTGATTTGCTAGGAGGACTCACAGGACTCAGCATATAGTCACGCAGCTAAGATTTATTACAGGAAGAAGATACAAAGCAAAATCAGCAAAGGGATAGCACTCGTGGGTAAAGTCCAGAGGAAACCAGGTATAAACCTCCAAAAGTTCTTTCCAGTGGAGTCACACAAGACATGCTTAATTCTTCCAACAGTGAGAAGTGACAGCACCTGTGAAATGTCTACCAGGAAAACTCATTAGAAACTCAGTGCTCCGGGTTTTTATGGGAGGCTGGTCATGTAGGCACCCCCTCTGGCTATCACAAACCAGGTTCCACACCCAAAAGGAGAGCAGGTGTTCAGTATAAACCACATCGTGTGAACAGATTGGGCACAGTGCACCATTCTTACCAGTTGGGGGAATGACGAGAACCCTCCCAAAATCCAAGTTCCAAGATGCCAGCCAAGGGCCACTCTTGAAACAGGCCTTTCTAACGTTTCAGGCCTGATAACTCTTTTGCGCACTATGCAAATTCCACCACCATGATCACCTTAGTCATCCTCATCTCTTACTAGTCTGTATTAATCAACCCCTACAGACTTCTCTGTTGAGCAGCTATAGTGACCTTGGATCTTATCTCTCTTCTCACAGTTCAGGAATGGCTTCCCATTATTGTAATTAGAACAAAAACCGAAGTCCACATCAGGGCCCTTAAGGCCCTACACAATCTGCCATTACCTCTCTCTTAACTGCATCTGTTTCTGTGTCCCTTGCCTACTGTGTTCCAGCCACGCTGGCCTCCCGACTATTGTCAGTTTTTCAGCAGGCATGCAGCTGCCTTGACTTGAATGTTTGCTATTCCTTCTGCCTGGAGTATTTTTCCCTCAGATATCTGTATATCTTGCTCCCTCATCTCTTAAGTTTTTGCTCAAATATCACCTTTTCAGTGAGGCCTTCCCTGACCATCCCCCATTCAAAGTATATATCTCTTTCTGTGCTTTGTTTTTCTGCAGAGCATTTAAACTCTCTTTAATTTACTATATATTTATTTTCTAGAGATTTATTTCTCACTAAATTGTAAACTGTTTGAGAGGGCAGGGATTTTGTCTTTTGTCTCCCTGGTAGCTAGAATAATGCCTGCCACATATGAGGCACTTGGTAAATACTGAAAGAATGAATAAGGCAGGCATTGAACCGAGGCATTTGCAGCTAGGGTAAGAGAATGGAGTAGGTAGGAGATATTAAGGAGTTACAGTTGGCCAAAGCTGATGACAGGTTAGTTGAATGGGAGAAAATCTTTGGGTTGGATTACAAGATGGTCCAGCCAGTCCAGCCATTCATTGAGATGGTGACAGGGGAGACAGTAGCTATGTCAGGGAAGTTCAGTTTGGGGACAAATTTAGTTTGAGGTGTCTGAGTTATGGGGCTAGACTGCATAAGTTGTTTCTCAGAGACCATGGAGGACTTGGAAGTCACTCAGAGGGGAAATTGGAAGTCAAATAGGAAGGATGAGTCTAGTAAATTGAGAGGTGTAGAGCATGTCACCAAAAGAAGAGGCCCAAATAGGTATCTAAATGAAGGTGATGGCAAGGATCAGAGCCAGAGATGAGTAACAGTTTGAGTATAATCAGAGAGTAGTCCAGGACAGTTAACCTAGAACTGCTATTTCTGCTTGCCTTTCCATACCTGCCATGTCTTGGTGGGGAGTTGTATAAGCCTCACTTGAGGAGTGTGGAGGAATAGAAGTATAGGGGTTTTAAAGTGGCAGGAGAAAGCGAAGACAAAAATAAATAAATAAGCCTGCCTCCAGGTCCCAGGTATGAGCAGCTTCCTCTTGAGAGCTGCAGGGAAGCTCTGCCCCCAGGAGAGTCCAGGTCTGTCAGACAAGGCATCATGGGCACAGTCAGAAGAGATTCAAGGCAGAGGGTGAGTAAGAAGGCCCAAGTAGGGGGCTCAGAGGCAGAGGAGAGGAATAGAGGAAGTAATTCTGGAGTAGTTCTGAGTGGGGCCCCTGGGGGTGCTGGCGACTTGATTTTGCTCAGGGTTAAGGAGCAATTTTAGAAGAGTTTTAAGAAAGAAATACAGAACCTTGGGCAACAGGACACGGGAGAAACTGCTGCTGTTCATACCTTCTCAGGGGCCCAATTATATCCTCCAGTGGAGGAGGAACTCTTGGATGAGGTTAAGCATGGATGGATAGCCACCATGCTTTGAAGGAAATCCTATACCAGGAAACTGGTGTCAGGACTAGTTACTTCAGAGGGTCCTTACCTAGAGTTTAAAACAGCAATAGTCCCAGTGATAGTAGGCTCAAATCTTAAGAAAGCAGCCCTGGGGGTTGGAGCTTTTGTTTGCTTTAAGTCATCCTTAGGCAAGTCTTGTAGAGCTGAGAGTATGGTATAGGAATTAGTGTGTCTTCTGTCTGTTTCTTTATGTATGTATATATACCCACATGCACATACACACATAACTTCTGCATGTATTTTATATATGTAATTAAAACTTATTTTACAGATTTTTGGTTATCACCAAAACTCAGAAGGTCCTCTTGATAAAAATCTAAAAAGACTTCTGTGTCTTCTCCACAGGATACCACGGCTGCCCCTTATGCCTTTCAGGATGATCCATACCTCATACCAACATCCTCTATGGAATCTGTGAGTATTTTCATGTAACTTTTCAGGTATTATGTTTTATTTTGCTGGTTTGAGTATAAGAGTACATATACAATTTAATTGTAAAAACCTTTGAAAAGTTTACAGGTGCTGATAGATAAATTGGTAGACTTTGTGAATCTTTTACTACTTTTATCAAAAAGATTGAGATATTGTCTATGGAGAGGGTATTTGTTTTGGTTTTTAATAAATACTTAGGGCTTTTTCACACTGCAGCAACCCACATAATTTAAATGTGTTGTTTTTATGTAGTTCAAGCTGTTTGTTACACTCTGTAGAAGAGGCGGATATATGATGTACAGTTGACCCTTGAACAACTCAGGGGTTGGAGCACTGACCCCATGCACAGTCAAAAACCCATGTATAACTTTTGACTGCACCAAAACTTAGTTCCTTATAGTCTAATGTTGACCAGAAGCCTTAACAATAACATAAACAGTCGGTTAATACATATTTTGTATGTTATGTGTATTATATACTGTATTCTTATAATAAAGTAAGCTAAAGAAAAGAAAATGTTATTAAAATCATAAGAGAAAATACATTTCTAGTACTGTACTTTATTTATTGATACTGTTAGGTTTACATCGTCTGTTTACAAAATGAATTGCCTGTCAGTACCTACACTGATATTGTCTTATGGGGTACAAAGCAATGTAGATATTATATGTATTATTAACACTAGACATCAAAAATGAAAAGATAGTGTGAAAAAATTGTCACAAATCTCAAAAAAAATTTTTCAATATATTTATTGAAAAAACCCCTGTAGGAATGGACCCATGCAGTTCAAACCCATGTTGTTCAGGGGTCATCTGTACTGTAATTTAATTTCGAATTGGGATTCCATGTATTGTTGCATTCTTTTTTGTCGGGGGGAGAATAATCATTCTTGCTGAGAGTGTAACTTTAATCTTGCTTGAGTGTGAATTAACATAAATACCAATTTCTATCTAAATCTTTTTCTTTATATAGCGTTTGTTTTTATTGGCAAAGAAGTCTGGGGAGAATGCAGCAAAGTTTGTTATTAATTCACATCCCAAATATTTTCAGAAGGACATAGCTGAACCTCATATACCGGTAAGGAGAGGTAGTTGCATTTTTCACATAATACTATATCATTGTAAATTAAATCAAGCTCTCATGGCTAATGTGAAATAGCCATTTGTATACCCTCAGTATTTGAATGGAAAACACTTTAACATGTGGAGTTATCTTTGCTCAACCATACTAACCTTTTTAAAATTCCTTTTGTATGAGTTTGTTTTTCATCTTAATATTTTCCCCATTTATTTAGCCTCTGTGATGCCACACTCTTGGATCTTTACCTCTATGGTTATTCCTTTCCAGTTTCCCTCACTGGCTCTCTGTCCACTCCTTAAGCATTGGTATCTTTCTTAGGTTTCCATGCTCAGTCATTTTCTCTTTTTGTCTGTCTTTTCCTGCTTCAGTGACCCTTATATTCCATTTGGCATTTTTGTGTATCTAGCCTAGATCCTCTACTTTGAACTCCAGATTGTATTTCTGGCTACTTCTCTGTTCTACAGTTATGCAGCAAGTATTTATTCAGCGCCTGCGGTGTGTTGGGCAATGTGTTTAGTGCTATCAGTACAGTGGCGAGCAAAACAGGTGTGCCTCTGCCCTCCTGAATTTATTAGTGGAAATACCAATCTCAGACTCATAATATCTAAAACTACTCCCTTCCCCTCACAGCTCTCTGCTTCCCAAAACTCACACCCAAACATACTCATTCCTCCTATTCTCACACTCCAACTTCTAGTGACAGATTAGAAAGCTAGTGCAATTAGGTCAGTAAAAATATTAAAATCCTGAACTGACAGTGGCAGTGATAGAATGATCGTTTGTCGTCCTGCCCTTTCCCCTTTATGTTTTTGACAGTTACTCTCCTGTACCTAGCTCCAGGATCACTCTTGCTTGAAGCCTTCCAAGTGTCCCCTGCCTCCATGGTGGGCAGCACCACTCACACTGTATTGTAATGATTTCCTCATCTGCTTTTCCACTAGACGATGAGCACCTCGAGGGTAGAGAGTGCCTTTCACCTCTGTTTTCCCCTGTGCCTAGCTTAGTGCCTGGGGTAAAGTAGTAGCCATTCAGAAAGCGTTTGAATAATAAGTGAATGAGTTAAAATCAACATACCTTTGAGGTATTATAAATAGAGTAAAAGTACTGTCAGGTATGAAAAGTTTCTGCCTTTGGAAACTGGGTGCACCCTGACTCCTTTAGTCAAGATGGGGTATTGGAGGAAGAATGGTTTTTAGCAGGGTGCTTTTAAATTCTTATCAAACTAGGAGATAGCTAAACAAGCTTCATGTTTTAGAGACTGGAAAAGTTTTTTTTTTTGTTTTTTTTTTTAACATTTTTTAGTTAGATTCCATACAAAGACATTCATGTTAAAGTATCAGTGTGGGAAACATGAATTGGAGCAGTGAAGTTTTATTTTGATGTACTGGTGATGAAAATTTGTTGTCCTTTCACCTGTAACTGTTTATAGTAACTTTAGCCATCTTTCCCTAGTGTTTAATGCCTGAGTCCTTTGAACCTCAGATCGAAGATGTAAGTGAAGCTGCCCTGAAGGAACGAATCAAGCTCAAAAAAGTCAAAGCTTCCGTGGACATGTTTGATCAGCTCTCACAAGCAGGTGATTATAGCAGCTCTAGGAACATGGGCTTTGAGGTGGGCCACAGTTAGATAGTTTTGAGTGAAAGTTGTAAGTACACTTGTCCTCCCTTGGTATCCCAAGAGGATTGGTTCCAGGAACCCCCATGTATATCAAACTCCATGGATACTCAAGTCCCAAAGTCTGACCTGTGGAAGGTGCTGATATGAAAAGCCAGCCCTCTCTATACACAGGTTCTGCATCCCATGAGTACTGTATTTTCAATCTCAGTTGGCTGACAAAAATCCATGTGTAAGCAAACCCATGCAGTTCAGATCCATGTTGTTCAAGAGCCAACTGTACTACTGTACTTATTCTGCTTGATGGCTGTGTTGTTTTTGATAGTTTAATAAATACTATTTTATGTTCTGCTTTAACTTCATTTTAAAATTATAGGTGAGATAGAATTGCAACTTTGTTAGTTTGTTATGCTGTTATGCTATACCTCTGGTAGAGAAGTTATGTAGTCACACTTCCTTCGCTTCTGTTTTTAACATTAGGTGCATACATACTGTATTTAAATTTCCTGTACTTTTTAAGTATGTTTGGAAGACAGGGCTACATAAAACAAAGAAATGTTTAAAAAGGAAAGCACTAAACTGGGATCACTGGCTTTGGCACTGGTGCTAGCTCTGACACTAACTGTTCTGTGGACTTGAAAAAGTCTTAATTCCTCAGAGCTTCTGGCTCCAAAGTTCTGTGCCTGTCTGAATTAGGTCTAGACGAACCTCCAGGGGTACATACACAGGTAGCATGGCTAATAAGGTACCATGAGAATGTGTGTACAGTAACATCAAAGGCAGCTGGTATTATTTGAGTTATCAACTTGAACACAACAAGAAACATTTGTAGACAGCTGTGTTTGAGAATGTCAGTATGTAGCCTCTTATGTACAGCATCGTGTGTACAACTGAGTGATGATAGCAGATTATAATCTGGTGAGGCTCTTCCCTGAGCTTGTTGAACATGATCATCTGGTATCAGTCTGCGTGAAAATTCTTATTGCTAAGGCCTGTTTTATTCATGGTGTGTCCAAACCATAGTTCAGTAACAATGAGCCAACCGACACATTAGGGAAGGGATCATAGAAAATTTCATATTAAGCCCCTAACAAGTGCCAAACACTCTGCTAGGCATTTCATATACTTAATTTAACTCTACAGCATCTTAAAGATAAGTTGTTGTGTTTTATAGTAATTTTATAAAGGAAACTGACTACAGTATTAGGTAACTTTTCTAGGGTCCCATAGCGCTGAGATAGTAAGACTCGATTGAGTTACATTCCATAGCCAGTGCTCTCTCCACTCTGCTGCTTTCTCTTCTGGGCTTTTGATTTCCTGAAGGGCATTTTCATTTATCAGTGCAGATGCAGTTCCTTTTCTTTTGTGTCTCGTACTTCTTCCTGTGCCTTTTTTCCCTTTTTAAGTAGTGTCAATTAATGGTAGCATAATGTTTTGAACAATTTTTAAAAGGCTAGTATAATTAGGTAATTAAACCAGTATTTGTAGGAAAGTTTTTACCATCTGAGCTAACTGGCGAGCCCCTCTAGGAAAGTTTTTAGTGAGGCCCTGGAATCAGGTGGAATAATTCTACTTGGATTTGTTCAGTGAACTTGGGCCAGGGGAGCTAAGTTTGCCGTGTCTTCAGTTTGGAGATGATTGTTAAAACCATGAGATGGTTTCTCTAAGGATATGAGTACATGGAATAAGTGAACACAAGGTCAGACTTCTTGTTGTGTAATCTTTTATGTCAGACCACACGGTTGGTAAGGAATGTGTTCCTGTCCACATCACTCCGGGTGTTTTAAGTTGATGTTGAGTGCATACTCATCAGTTGATAAAGTGGTAGATAATAAGCATATAGCCAAGAAAGCCACAGCTAACACAAAAAGTGAAGAATTTTGGGCCGGCCCGTGGCTCACTCGGTAGAGTGCGGTGCTGATAACACCAAGGCCCCGGGTTCGGATCCCATATAGGGATGGCCGGTTCGCTCACTGGCTGAGCGTGGTGATGACAACACCAAGTCAAGGGTTAAGATCCCCTTACCGGTCATCTTTTAAAAAAAAAAAAAAAATTGGATATTTTTTTCAAGATTTCTTTCCCTTTTTTTCTCCTACCCACAGGAACCACTGTGTCTCTTGAAACAACTAATAGTCTCTTGGATTTATTGTGTTACTGTGGTGACCAGGAGCCCCCAGCTGATTATCAATTTCAGCAAACTGAACAGTCAGAAGAATTGGTAATAGCTTTTGGCATTGATTTTTTTATCAGCACCGCACTCTACCGAGTGAGCCACGGGCCGGCCCCTGGCATTGATTTTTTTAAAAGTTTCTTTTGGGCCGGCCCGGTGGCGCACTGCTACAGTGTGCCGCTTGGGAGTGCGGCGGCGCTCCCGCCGAGGGTTCGGATCCCACATACAGACCGGCCACTCACTGGCTGAGCGAGGTGCGGGTGCAACACCAAGGGTTGCGATCCCGTTGCTGGTCCCGGTCCGGGCACGACACTGAGGGTTGCGATCCGTTGCTGGTCACGAAAAAAGACAAAAAGGAAAAAAAAAAGTTTCTTTTAAAAATAATACCTTTTCAAAGTAAAATGGGTTCTTGTGTCATGTGTCAGGATAGTAAGATTTGTGCTGAGATGTAGTATGGTACAGTAGCCTTGATGAAGAGTGGTGCAGGAGGAAGAGACAGATTTAAACAATTATTTTATCTCTGGTTCTCGTAGAAATGTTTTGTCCTTGCCTACTACATATTCAGGCAAAACTTTGACCAGAAAGTTTGGGCTGGCCCCTCTATTACTTATAGTGACAACATGATGTGTAATAGTGTAGTCGGTTAGAAATCGTGATTCTCATTTGATTTTAGAATAAGGTTTTTAGGTAAATGCATGTATGGGGCAAAAGCCCTCGGACATGGGGCCACAGCCCATCTAATCAACTCTTAATCACTGGTTAGGTACGGGACTGTATATTTTAGAGATGACAGGTAGTAGGTTCTGTTAAGAGATTTTAAGAATTGCTGAAGGGAAAGTTGTGGAAAAGATGTTTGCTAGGGCCAAGCTGTCTGTTGGGGGAAACTTTAGATTTTATCATAAGAGTGTAACTTTTGTTTGTTTAAGGAGAGGTCATACTTTAGATAATGAGCCAGTTTGACCAATTTAGCTCTTTACTAATTGCTCTTTGGAATGTCTCTTTGTTTATTTTAATGATGTTACTAGTTTCCATTCTTAAGCTATACTTAGCCATAGATAACTCTTGTAACTCAGCTGATATCCTTGTGTCCTTTTGTAATGACTGAATCAATTGAATTTTCTTGTGAAACTTCCTTGTCTTTACAATAAAAAACAGAAGCTAACTTTGAATGGCTGCTGCACCCAGTTTTCTCCTCCTAACAGAGGAGTTGCTGGGGCGCAGACCCTTCAGGCTTCTCATCGCATTCATGGTGCTCTGAGTGATCCTTTTTGCGTCTCTGTTACACAAGGACAAGTGTAACAGAAGAGGGGCAGAGAGAACTGCAGTGTCTAGACTGCCACACTAGGGATCAGATTTCCACATGAGTTCTGGGAGGACAACACATCCAAGTTCCATCAGGGCCTAATGAGCTCAAGAGTCTGCAGGTAAATCATCTCCCCAGCTAATCTGAGTCTGAAGCATTTGCAGAACCTTGGCTCCATTTGGCTTTCTTGTAATAGCCAAGGAAAGACTCTATGGCCCCAGCTCCCTCAAGAATTCATCCATACGTGGGCAGAGAGGAGGGAACACATTAGGCAGGGGTGTAGAACAGTACTGTGCCGAGGGCTACTGGTAGGTTGAGTCATTGCCTATTTCTCAACTCACGAGTTACTTCTAGAAATAGGTCCCAAGGAATCCTTTGGATCAGGTAGACAGAGATGTATATGACATTTTTCTTAATATATTTATACCTAAAATTGCAGAAATGTTGAAAACAATCTAGATGTCTGATAGTAGATGATCAAATTATGGTCAGAATGTTGTGTAGCCATTGAGAGCACTAGAATAGATTTAGGTATGAAATGATCATTTAAGTGGGAAACAGGCTATATGACAATATAAATATTGCATTTTCATAAAAATTTTTTATATGCATAAGAAAGTCATATTAAAAAAGTTTTTTGGGGGGTAGGATTATGGGTGTTTTTCTTTCTTTCTGTCTTTTCTAATTTTTCTCCACTAAATGTGGATTATACAGAGAACTTAAGTCTTTCACAGTGCATGGGCAGTGGGTTGCAGTCACTCCTTGCCTTCAAGGGCATCTTCTGAAGCCCTGGCCTGTCTGACCCTCTGCCCTCCAGCCCCAGCCCCAACCACTGCAATCCCAGCCAAGCCTGTCTCACCCTATGTCAGCCTCATCCCAGTCTTTGACGTATAAATAAAGGACAAGATTTAGTTTTACAAAATTTTAGCTTGTTTGGCTCAGTGTTTAATTATACAAGGGTACTTATGTACATTATTTCCATATGGATCAAGCCAGACGTAGCCTCCGAGGAAGCAGGCTATGTTGTTTGGCTTTCCAGTTTCTATCTCTGGGCCAGCTGTGCAGGACATTGGTTTCATCTTGTCTCCAGGCTATCACTTATTGCTTTAAGGGACAACTTTGCTTTTCATCAGTGAATTTGCCGATTTATACTTAGGAAATTACAGGCATAAACATTTAGTGGGTTTCTCTTTGTCTTTTGCTTCATCCGTATTTCCTTTGTTTTTCTGAGTTCCATTTGCCTTCTTGATTTCGAGTAGTCTGATTGGGGGAATGCATTCCATTGTCTTAACTTCTGTATCTCTTGATGATTCATTCCAGGAAGAGGCCACAGAAGAAAATAGCAAGAAATCTAGGACGAAGGCTGGTCATCAGTTTAGAGTTACTTGGAGGTATGTTACACATAGTTAAGAACCTCGTTTTATGGTTTCTTACCATATGTGGTATATGTCCTATCAACCCCCAAAGATGATGTCATTCTGTAATATTCCAAAAAAGAGTTTGTTTCATTGTGCAATGTAAATTTCATAATTCATGTTCAGACGCGTTTAGAACTTTTTTCATAGGTTTTTACCTCCAGCCAGCATCACAAGAGTCCATTTAGAGGTGAACCCTTGATTTTTTTTTTCCCCTCCTCACTTAACTCAGTGTAGCCTTCAGATGGTTTAGTTCCTTTGGTAGTCTCATTAGCAGTTCTACTTTGGGATATACACCTCTAATTCTGAACTATTTGATATTTTTGTTTTCTAAAAATACACAAGCAGTAGGCACTAGAATGTGGTGCTAAATTAAGACTGCTGACCAGCAAGCAGAAATATTCTGAACAAAAGATGAATAACATTTAAATACATTTGAGAATTTAAGTTAACTGAGTGGAAGTATTTAAATAAAGGAAAGATGTTTCACATAGATGTTGAGAAAGAGAGCTACCATCAATATCTAAAATCTTTTCTGAAGTGATGAATTTAATGGAATGGAAGGTTGAATTTCTTGGGATAAGTTTTAGTAATTTTGTATAGTGGTTAAGAGCATGGACTTTGGAATAGGTTCTTGTCTCAAATTCTGTTTTGTCTGATTTCCACAATATATCAAGGGGAGAATCAAGGTACAGGATAGTTTGTATAACATGGTACCATTTAGCTATTACTGGTTTTTCCTGTTTTCCTGGTTCACACTTACTCTCTTGTTTCTAGAGCAAACAATAATGCTGAGAGAATTTTTGCTCTGATACCAGAGAAAAACGCACATTCCTACTGCACAATGATCCGAGGAATGGTGAAGGTATATTTGTTTTATTTATTGTAATCTTTAATTTCCAAGTCGGGGTTTCTCAACCTCAGAACAACTGATATTTTGGGTCAGATAATTTGTGGGGCTGTCCTGTGGATCGTAGGATGTTGAGTACTCCTTAGTCTACACCCACCCCAAGTTGTGACAACTAAAAATGTCTCCAGGCATTGCCCGATGTCCCCTAGGTAGAAAATCACTACATTAGAATATAAGCTTCATGACAACAGGGGTCTGGCCTGTTTTGCTTAATGACTGTTTTCCCAAACCCTGGAACAGTAGTAGATCTGCACATACTTCTTAAATGAATGAGTCTGATGATGCTTAATTTTTTCTTTTCCTCTTCCAGCACCGAGCTCATGTGCAGGCGTTAAACTTGTACACCGAGTTATTAAACAGCAGACTCCGTGGTGAGTTTTGAGAACTCCCCTCCCTCTCTCCCTTTCTTCTGTCAAGAATCTGCATGAAATCTTGGATCTCGCCTCAGTCACGGGCCCATGTTTCATCTTTTCCTCTTGCATTGGTGATTGAAGCAAGAGTAGAGATCCAGGCGAGGAATGGTTTTCTAGTTCTGTGGATGTGTGGTGATTAGCTAAGGGACACATGAATGACCATTTTGTGTTAAACAGCCATTTAAAGGTTATTCTTCAATCTCAAATTTTGTTAAATAGTGTTCTTCTTTTACAGCTGATGTATATACCTTCAATGCATTGATTGAAGCAAAAGCATCAATGAGAAATGAAAAATTTGAGGTGAAATGGAATAATATATTGGTAAGGAGGAACCTTCAGTTTGTCTTTCAGTAGGCCTTAATTAAATATTCTTTACTAGAAATATGTCAGATGGAGACAGAAGTCACTGCCCTCAGAAAGTGATTTACCTGTTCACTGCCCTTCCAGCATCCCTGTTAAGTTACATGGCTGTGTCTGACACATGAGAAGAAAAAGGTAACTTAATTCAGAGCATACAGCTAGAATTCTGGAAGACCCAGGTTGTTTTATTCATTTATTTCTCATAATAGTTTCTTTGTTACGAAATTAATGCATATTTATTGTAAAATTCTTGTCAGGTTAATTCAAAAATTTGAAATCACTGGCTTGATTGTTGGCCTAGTAACATAGGAACAGAAGTATGTTTTTACACCATACTGGTCTGGTCTCTTGCTTAAGTCTTTTCTTAGAAGACCCACTAGGTAGAGGACTGAAGACACTTGGATACCTCAGTCAAGTGGGGTGAATGACTAAATTCTCTAAAAAGCAGAATCACTGGTTCTGCTAATTAATAGGCAATTCTTAAATTAGGGATATGGTTATTAACCTGCTTTTAGACATAGCCAGAAAACTAAAATCTCTTTTTTGTGTGAAATGCAATTTATTGAGCAAAGTATCTACCCAGATACAAACTATACTCCTTCCTTTTGATTGAACTAGGAGCTGCTTAAAGAAATGGTTGCACAGAAGGTGAAACCAAATCTACAGACTTTTAATACCATTCTGAAATGTCTCCGAAGATTTTCTGTACCTGCAAGATTGCCAGCTTTACAGACCTTACGTGAGATGAAAGCTGTCGGAATAGGTGAGGATGTACCCTGGAGTCCCCAGTGAAGACAGAGACCATGCTGACCAGTAATTTCAGGGCCACATATGCAGAGAAGATCTGTTAATTCTTTTGCTGTTTATGTAATGTATTAGGAACTTCTTTCCTACCATTTGGCACACTTAATCACATGTATTACTATGGTGAGAACACCTTTATCTTCATGTTCTTTATAGCAAATTGCAATGTTCATTAGTATTTCAGGTAATTTTTTTAATGGATCTCTTGTTTCTGAGGGGAATTGATCACTTTGAGTTATTAGTTTAAAATTCTGTGACATTTTTCTAGCATAACTGTTTGAAACAAAGTGTGTGCTAGTATGTTGTGCATATTTCAGTAATTACTTTATTGAAGATTGCTTTGGGAACCAATTCACTTTGGTATGGTTTTCTATTCTTAATGACCAATCATATTACTATAGGTGTTTAGACTTCCTAAAAGAGGCAATCTTTATGACGATTTTTTAACTCTAATTAATTAGATGAGCTGGAAAATGTCTTTGTTCAAAGCAATAGAAACATTGTCTTTTGCTTAAGTATTAACATCAGTGTGTGTTTTGTTCAGCATGCCTCAGTAAGCAGTATTTTGAATAGCTATGTTTTTTCTTTCTTTTTTTTTCAATCCACCTGGTAATATGAGAACCCTCGCTTGCAACATATCACCATATTATTCAGCTGTTTTATCAACATGGTATGTATGGCCTTATGTTACATTAACTTAAGTAGAAAATGCACCAGCTCCTTTGAGTTTATATGATTAATTGTTGCAGGTTATCTTCTCTGCTTTTGAATTAAGAATAGAGAATTCACAAATGAACATTTACAGCCTGAACAAAAAGTTAATTCTTGAGGGTAGTAACCTTGTTTGTGATGTAAAACTTGAGCTGTAGGGGAGAGGGTTATAAAATGTACTAGTAGTGTTGGAGTATCAATAAGAATGAACAGAAGGTATTTTAGTTTGGAGTTCCGTTTGCTCTCCAGAGCTGTGCTGTCCAGTACAATGGCCACTAGCCAAATGTGGGTAATTAATTAAAACTCAGTAAAATAAAAGAATTCCTTTATTGCATTAGAGCTCAATAGCCATGTGTGGTTAGTGGCCACCATATTCAATGATGCAGGTATAGAACATTTCCATCTTTGCAGAAAGTTGATGGACAGTGCCACTCTAGAGGAAGGTTAACCTTATTTTGAAACCTTGGGAGGACTTTGATGTGCCATTTGTCACCTACTTTCAGGTCAATTAATTCCTTTTGGAGCTGTGCTCTGTGGAATGGACTGTGGAGCAAAAGTACATCTAGTCATTCTTTCCTGTGATAGACTATAAAAACAACAGAAATGAACTTGATTCTCTGTGGTTTGGAGAGCTAGTTTTACAAAATCCACATCTTCACTTACGGGCAAATTTTTTCGTGTGTTTTTGTTTTTTTAATCTTTTAGGGGAAAAAACCAAACAGCAGGTAACTGACTTTATCTTAGAAACATAGCCATTTTCCACAATAATTGTGCCCTCTAAAATTTTCCTCAACCTTGGTGAGATTATGGTGAAATTAGTGTTTCTGACCCTGGAGTCTATTGCTTTCCTCTATACCATCATGTATCACTTTGGTTCAGTCGCTAACCAAGGTCAGTGCTACTTAGGTTTCTTCAGAAACAGCTATGACCATGCCGGGGTGGGGGGGTGGGGGGAGTGTGGATTTGTCTCATGTACATAAACTGGCTGTCTGCAATAATAATTTCTAAGAATTTACTCAAAGGAGAGAGCCTAAAATAAGATGACCATACACATAACAATATTTTGTAACTAGTGAAATAATTGGGAATGTTAGCAGTTGCTTGAGGAAATTATAAATATATATCTGTGTTGTTATTACATCTGTGTTATCATTTGCATGTTGAAAAGGTGGGGAAGGGAATGTAGATAAATATTTGGGAATATTGTAGGTGGATTTTCTGATTTACTAAGTTCACCTCTTGTGATTTTTACAGAACTGCCTTTATCTAGTTTCCTTTCTCTTGGCGTTCTCATCTTGGTTATACTTAAAAAGAACATGAATGATTGCTAGCAAAAAACATGTTTGTTTTTTCTAAGTATGCTGGTTTGGTGAGGGGTATGTGTGTGTGTTGGTGTTTGCCTCCCATTCCATTGAAAGTCAAGCTCTTGTAAAGAGACTAAGACGAAAGGGAAAAGTCTTGGACTGGAGCACATAGACAAAGATCTGTGATTGTCTGCATGGTGCAGTGGCTTCTTTAGCAAGCATTTGCCCCCTGCCCAGCTCCATACTAGCTGGGCTTTAGGCCAGAGATGGAGGAAGGAGAGACGTGCCCCTTTGAGCTAGGTGCTGTGAATTTGGTGGTAGTTTGGGAAGTGGACTCTCATTTGCTTTCTTTTTCTGCAGAAGGCCTTTCAAAAGCGTCATCCCTTATCATCTATGATATAATGAATGAATTAGTGGGAAAGAAATTTTCTCCAAGGGACCCGGATGATGGTATGTCCAGAAATTGCTTGTGTTTTCCTCCTCTGTAGACAGAGGGCCTGTTTTCCTGAGTACCAGTTACTTCCTCCTCTGAAGACAGAGGGCCTGTTTTCCTGAGTACTATTTATTAGTTATTAGTGTTGTGATGAAGACAGAGTTTAATTTAACTTAGTAATATTTGGAGTGATTATTCTAAGAAAGCCAAAAAGTCTAGCACTTCACTGTATACTTCCTCTCCTTGAATTTTTATTCCTTTAATTTCAGTCTTACATGTTACCAGTTTTATTAGAAGGATTTTTGTTAATGTTACAGTCTTGAAAATATATTTATCTCTAGTAACCAAAGCTCCCGTGAACTTCAATTTTCAGGTATATTTTTTCAGTCAGCCATGAAAGTTGTAAGTACCATTTCTTGTTTAACTTTATTTTCCTTTTTCTAAAGAAGGTTGCTATTCATTTCCTAAATTTATCTGTAACTGGGAGGGCTTTCCCTGGTTCTTTCAGTTCCTAACTCTTCTGTTCATATATTTGCCTCTGTTTTTCTTTTTTCTCTAAATCTGTACTTTTTTTTTCTTTCCCTCCTAAAGTTTGTACTTTTAATAGTGTAACATCCCTACCCTGTGTTTATTGTGTGCGTTGCCTTTTTCGTGCCTCTGTTCAGATAAGCTTTTAGAGTACTATATGTTTGCCTATTAATAACTTTTTAAATTGATAAAGATTTTTATTTTGGTTTTTTGTTTTATCATGCTCATCATAGGAAAAATTTCAAGCAGTTTCAGGATGAATAAAGTGTATCCTGTTACCTGAGGGTAATTGCTTTGCAGCTGAGTGTGTACCTTCCCAGATTTTTTCCTCTGGGTACTCAAACATTATATACACCCAGACACACTTCCGTGGTGGTGGATTTATTGACAGCAATCAATATTTCACAGAAGAGAAGAACTATAACTTGCTTAACTCTTCTGTGGATAGTTTTGGGAGTTATTTCATGGGGTTTTTGCTACTAAGTGAGGCTAGACTGAGCCCCTCATGTCTTTTGTGGAATTGAGCAGATGTTTTTGTAGGATTAATTTCTAATAGTGTAATTGCTAAATCAAAATGTGAATTTCAGAAAATTTGGGGGTTTATTTTGGTCCCCCCCTGAATTCCTTGTAACTTATTTGCTCTCAACCAGTAATAAAGTTGAATCAGCATAAGCGTTTTCACAGGGAACTATCTTTTTTTTCTTAGTTAGTGCTGTTTGGCTGATGAGGATATCAGATTGATACTTATTTGCAAATTTTCAGTGCTCATCTCTCAGAGATCTAGAACTTGCTTACCAAGTACATGGCCTTTTAAACACTGGAGACAACCGGAAACTCCTTGGACCTGATTATCAGCGTAATTTCTATTAGTAAGTATGTTTGGAAATGTATCCTTTTGCATTAATACTAGTAGATTCTGGAAATGGGAGGCTTTTGGTGCCCCTCCATATTTCAGACAACTTGCCCATGTTTAGTAGTGCACATTAATTGAGCACTTAGAAATTAAAGCAGGGGGGCTGGCCTGGTGGCGCACTGGAGAGTGTGCCGCTTGGGAGCGCGGCGGCACTCCCGCCGAGGGTTCGGATCCCATGTGGAGACCGGTTCCCACTCACTGGCTGAACGCGGTGCAGGCGCGACACCGAGGGTTGCGATCCTGTTACCGGTCAGTAAAAAAGACAAAAAAGAAAGAAATTAAAGCAGGGGTAAAACTGCCAGGTTTGGAAGTCTGTTGTGTATTTTTTGAGATTTTTTTTTTTTAAATAACATTTTTAATCCACATCTTTTTCCTCTATCCTCATGTTTTATAGTTTCAAATTATTATAGCAGGGTGAGTCCCTAAAGATTTCATTCCAGCTCCCTTGCTTTTGTATTTAAAGATCAAGATAGTGGCACCCAGAGAGTCTCCTTAAATGAATTTGCATTTAGACAGATAAAAACTTAAGGAAACAGCCTGTTAATAGGTGTGTGAAGATTGTTTTCTGTGTGTCCAAATTCTTGCTTCGCGTTGAATGCTTCTAAAGTGAATGTGATACTCAGTATCTGCTCCCCATGACATGTGAGTATTCTGAGGCGGCAGTCATCAATGACCAATAAAAGGTAAGAAGGCGTGAATTGGGAAGTTAAGCCCAGTTAGCACCTCTTAAGTCAAGCATTGGCCCATGTAACTTGAAATTGTAAATATTTTTTAATTCTGTGTAACACACTGTCATATAACTGTGCTGTAATTTTTGTTTTGTTTTGTTAGCTGGTTGGTACAGGGATCAAATCCTAGACCTTGGTATTATCAACATCATATTCTGACCAACTGAGCTAACCAGCCAGCCCCTAGACATAGAGATCTTACGCTAAACATACTTTTTCTTTCCATCACAGTTCCAAGTTCTTCAGTGTGCTTTGTTTAATGGAACAAATTGATGTCACCTTGAAGTGGTATAAGGACCTGATACCTTCAGTAAGATGATTCATTACTTGTTGCTTATCACTGTAGATGAGTTTGTAGGTATTTTTGCTGATTAATGCTTTAAAAATATATTTGTATTTTTCTTTATCAGGTCTTTTTTCCTCACTCCCAAACATTGATAGATCTTCTCCGAGCATTGGATGTGGCCAATCGGCTGGAAGTCATTCCTCAAATTTGGAAAGGTCAGTTTCAGCTTGTGTGTCCAGACCCATCTCACTTCATTGTCCTACATTTTGATTAATGAACATGTTAACCTCATTGTTAGGGATGAAAACTTTGATTTTTGACTGAATCGAATGCATTAGTTGAGTTCTACTTCAGGATCACTTGCTCATGTTGCATATTGGATACGATGAGTAGAAATGCATTGAAAACGACTTAAGTCAGTCCCTTCATGACTTAAGGCACAGGCTAAATTTTGTGCACCTGTTGTGTGACATTACCCAGGGAAGATCATGCTAGTTCTGTGGCAGACCCTATATCTGAATGCAGGTCTCAAGGCTTGTGCAGTTCCTCTGTACCAGTGCTGCCTCACTTTGGTTGAGTTGCTAACCAATTGGTGATAATTACTGGTTTCTAAGTAATAGCTAGGGCTGTGGTGTGTTGATCTATTTTATGTGTATAAATGGCTGCAAAATGAGACAAATCTTTTCTGTCTCTTCTGTTAGGTGACAACTATATTTTCATAAAGTTTCTATCTGCCTCAGTTTTCATGTTTGAGAAACTGAGACGGTAGTCCTGCCATATTACTTCACAAGACTGCTCTAGTGACTGTATGTAAGAAACATTGAAAATTCACAAGTACTGTAAAACAGTGTCTTACAGTATGGAGCTGGTGGCTGCTCAGATTTAGTGCATGTGCTTTGTTTAACATTTGACTGGGGACAGGTTACTGGCATTGGCTTTCATTGCTATTATTTGTTCTTACTGTGAATCCTGCTGGGTTTCTGGAATCCTGGGTTAAACCTGGAATGAATAGATAATGTCAGCAACTTATTTTTACCCACCAAAAAATAAGAGTGATAGCCAAAAGTGGACCAAGGTCAGCCAAAAAGAGTGTTGGTTTTACATGATGGTAATAATCACTCCTGTCTTTTTTGTTTCAAGATAGTAAAGAATACGGTCACACTTTTCGCAGTGAACTGAGAGAAGAGATCCTGATGCTCATGGCAAGGGATAAGCACCCACCAGAGGTAGGGCTGTATTGAAACTCACGTTTCATTACTGTTATTAGATGTATTCTAACCCGTATATTCTCTAATACTGAGGTCCTTCTAAGGGTAGTTTCCTTGGTTTCATCTGTCATTGTAGAGAGTTCTGCCACTCCAACCCAGATTTTAGTTATGATAGATGCGTCTAAATGTATCTTGCCCTTAGCAGAAAACCGTTCTTAAAGTTACTCTCATTCCTGTAGTCCAAAGCAAGCAACATGAAATTTAGTTCCTTCTGTGTTCTGAGAATTAACAGTAGCTTGCTTGTTTGTGTGTGCATGTGTTTTGTTTTTTTAAATTTCCATCTTAAAAGAAAACCCACCATTGAATTTGAAATATGTGACTAATCAAATTATCCCAGAACAGGGTCTTTTTTTCTTTCGTTATGTATTGCTTGTGTGCTATACATGTGAAATGTTCGAATGGTAAAATGCATTACTCAAAAAATTTAATGGTCCTATACATCTCCTGAGTTTAAATCTTCATAAAACCAGTTGGGCAGTTCTGCTGACTCTTAGAGCCTCTCAGCTTCAGGTGGCATTTGCTGACTGTGCTGCAGATATCAAATGTACATATGAAAGCCAAGATGACAGACATACTGCTCCCGATTGGCCAGCCAACCCTCTCAGCTGTATTGCTGTCCTCTTTTTAAGGGCTGGGAGAACCCAGGAAGCCTGGTGAGTACAATACCACAACTGTAATTTGTACTTGGATCTAAAACATCTCCGGGTCGGGAGAGGTTCTTTAATTTGGCTATATGATACGTAGTTTATCAAGAGCCAAACTAGAATATATAGTGAGTTTTCAGTGGGAACTTGCATATACCAGCTAAAAAGGAACCTTTTGAAAGAAGACTGGTATGCATGATATATTTGAGAGCAGGCCTGGTTCAGATGGGCTGAGGATTCTCTTTCTGTTTATGACCTTTCTTCTGAGTTCATGAGCAAGTAAGTCACTTAACCTTATTTGTCTGCCCACTTAAATGGAACACAGTGATCAAAGAAATGTATTTTTGAAATGCTTTTTGGTCATCTGGATTATTGAAGTAATATTGCAGGTGCTCCTTTCACCCCCACGCCCCATCTTAAAATGTGGGCTGTGTACGTGGCCTTCTAGAAACTGGCATTTACCCACGTTTATTAAATATAGTCTTGACTAGAACCCATCTTTGGTTTGTGCCACTATGTTCTGGTTCTGTGTTTTCATCAGCACTTTGTTCACATGCTCATTTTAATTGTTGAGATTGGGGACCTTAGGAATATTTATTTTTCCAAAAGCAGAAAGTCAGCAAAAGGTTACTTTGTAGGGGTAGTCACAGTTAGCTGGTTCTGCTGTGTTTTGTGTTGGGTATCAACATGTTAGTTCTAAGTCAGTAAGTTCGGGGTACTTGTACATGGTTTCTTGCACAAGAAGTAACTTGATTTGAACATCTGATTACAAGTCCAAAATGTGGCTAACCACAAAACCCAGAAAAGATTGTGAAAGCTTGCTACCTCAACTTGTCTTAGAGGTATGGCTTACTCATACACATGACCTGTGGCACCTGTGCCACTAGTGACAGAGACATTTGAGACTTGCATTTGCTTGTTAGCTAAGCTTGGCACACACTTGCCATGAATCAGGCTGTGATGATTGGCGCAGGGGTACGGACCTCAGCTGAGTCATGGGAGCTGAATGTATGTGTTTCTCTTTTGTCCTGCATGTGGCAGGTTGATGGTGAGCACTTACATGACACTGTTGCCTTAATCTGAGCCTGCTCTTCAGAAAGTGATTTTAGGACAGACTGAACCCATGCGATATTGTAAAAGAGGGAAAGAGACCAGGCTTTGTTCCATGCTTCTCCTCCAACTGTGAGCGGGGTATATACCCTCTGTGAGAGGACAGAGGTGATCCTCTACAGGAGCACATATACCAGCACTTCTCAACATTAGCAGCATATTGCATATCACAGTTACCTGTTCAACTTGTAATGTGGATATATGGAGTTTTGGGGGAGGAGTTAAGGTGTTTAATCACTTAAACACCTTAGGTGATTCTGACGTATAAACAGGGCTGGTAGCCAGTGGAGCCCATAGATTTGTGTCTTCAGGAGCTTACAGTGTAGTTAGGAAGAAAAGGACTCTTTGTCTCTGAGTCCAGGGAGAGAACAGCTATAGTCATGTTTGCTTTCTGTTTTTCTATTAGTATTCATAATTCTTCTATCTCATCTTGAACAGGAAAATGTTGGGGCTTTTCAGGAAGCATAATAAGATCCCTAGGTAAGTTGCAATTAACAGGCTCCACGTGGCTACAGCCCAGAATAAGCTGCATGGGCTTGACTCTTCCTGTGGGTAATTGGAATTTCTTCAAATACCTCATCTACCACATTTGGACACTTTTCTGTTAGGCAGGCTGTCAACCTCCCCCACCATCTGAGGTATCCTGAGCCAAGCACTGTTTTTTGAGTAGACCCTCAGTGAAGGCATGGTGAATGAATGTTCGTTATCTCTTTGGCTATTTAAAGTTAGACTTCATGGAAGTTTTCCTCTAAAACTACAGTTGAGGATTTTATTACTGAATTTATGCTGGATTTTGCTTGTAAATCTTTGACTGGAGGGGTTAAGAAGTTTGGTTAGGGGCCGGCCCGGTGGCACACTGGAGAGTGTGCTGCTTGGGAGCGCGGCGGCGCTCCCGCCAAGGGTTCGGATCCCATGTGGAGACCGGTTCCCGCTCACTGGCTGAGCGCAGCGTGGACACAACACCGAGGGTTGCGATCCCATTGCCAGTCCCTGGTACGGGCGTGACACCAAGGGTTGCGATCCCGTTACCGGTCAGTAAAAAAAAGACAAAAAGGAAAAAAAAAAAAAAGTTTAGTTAGGGAATGTTCACATTTTGCTTTTGTTTTATAGAGGTGAGTTGCTGAATGAGTTTATGGACAGTGCAGCCATGTCCAGCAGTCCCTCCCTGGCCATTGAGGTGGTGAAGCTGGCCAGTGCCTTCAGCTTACCTGTTTGTGAGGGCCTCACCCAGAGAGTAATGACTGACTTTGCCATCAACCAAGAACAAAAGTAAGTGGGTCCTGTGTCTTCCCCATGAAGTGAAGTTTATAAAATGGTGCAGGCCATCTGTTCATCTGTCCATTCAGATATTTGTAGCTTTCTATCCCTTGTATTTCATTCTTTCCTATTACAAAAAGTCAGGATGTAGTAATTTAATGACTATATCACTTGTTATACAAGTCAGGGAATCCTATAGATTTGGCGGTTAGAACCTTTTCCTTTGTTCTTAATCCAGTTTAGGCAGCTGCTGTTTGTTTTTCTGATTTCAAAACTGATAGATTATAGGTGAGTGTCAGAGATACCAATGATCCCAGCCTCTGACTGAATCACAGTGTAACCCTCCAGTTTCTTTTCCTTACAGGGAAGCCCTGGGCAACCTAACTGCATTGACCAGCGACAGTGATAGTGACAGCGACATTGACAGCAGCAGCAGCAGTGACACTGATGAAGGCGAATGAAAATGGGAGATTCCAGAGCAGTGATGGCCTACCTATGGCTATAGGAATCACATTTTAGAGCTGAGATGTTAATAAAGTGCTGGCTTACTTAGATTAAGCTAATTAGCTACTTGTTAAACCGTCTGTTAACACATCATTTTTAAACAGCAGCACCATTTTCATTTCTTAAGACACACCTTGTGGGTCTGTGTCTCTGGGCGTTGGGATAAGCCCTGCACACCTGCAGGTGGGCTGACGTCATGCTGCCATTGTTAGCGGACAGTTGTCCTCTCCCTGCTGCTGGACTTCAGACTTTGTTGGCCTGATGTGCCACTATGATGCTGGTCTTCCTTCATCTTAGAAACAGTGTCTGAAGGAGGTTTTCATGCAGTTACAATTGCTGTGAGGTCAATAGTGTCCCAATTTCAGGGATATTTAGATGTGAAAATAGGCATATTAGAGTTGATTAGACAGGATTAATGGCAGTTTAGGCTGCACAACTGTTAAAATGAAGACTAAATAAAAATGTATATGTGTATGCATTTGTTATTTTAATACAGCCTGTGCCAGAGTCTTCCAGCTAGAACACCCAAAAGCGTTTCATCTTTCCCTCTATTTTTATCTATATGTAGGCACCTTTAGTGGTCTAAATGAGAGCTAGGGATAACAGAAGGATGTGAAATGTGTTCTTGACATGATCTTGTATTGCTGGTAATCAAGTAGGTTAAGAACCTTTACTTCTGGCATTCTCTTACCACTATGACTTTTAAATGGTACTGGAAGCCAACAAGAACTTTTGAGGTTTGCAGGAGCATTCTGGCCTTCACAAGAGCTTCCACCACAGGCTGTTTGCACATACCTGTTCCCACATTTACTGAGACACCCCGTAAGTTCTCCATAGACAAGCAGTACTGTGGTTTGAATGTCCCTCCAAATCTCATGTTGAAGCTTAATCCCCAATGTGCTAATGTTGAGAGGTGGGGCCTTTGGGAGGTGACTGGATCATGAGGGCTCTGCCTTCATGAATTAATCTACTCATGGATCAATATCGGGGGGAACTGATGGCTTTATAAACAGGAAGAGAGATGTTAGCATGCTCTTGCCCTCTCACCGTGTGCCAGAGGACAGAGTCTCGCCTCAGGACTCTGCAGAGAGTCTCTACCAAGAAGGCCCTCACCAAATGCGCCACCTTGACCTTGGACTTCCTAGCCTCCAAAACTGTAAGAAATAGTTTCTTTGTAAATTACCCAGTTTCGGGTATTCTAAGCAACAGAAAGCTAAGTTTCATCTTCACCCTGATATGTATGGGATTCTATATTGTATTGGTATTAATGTATGTTCTCATCTCCATTTACCATCCTCTGTAAGACAGCCAGGACCTAGCCATATATCCTTAGAAACCTAAGTATTTGGTTCATGTTTTCTCCTAGAATGTCAGGTCTTAAGGCATTTAATTGAGGGACAGAGGGGGAAAAAACGACAGTGTAATAACTAGCTATCTAAGCATCCATGTGTATTGCTTCATATTAAAACAAGTTTGCAGGGCCGGGCCGGTGGCACACTCGGTAGAATGCGGCGCTTGGGAGCGCGGCGGCGCTCCCGCCGAGGGTTCGGATCCCATATAGAGACCGGTCCGCTCACTGGTTGAGCACAGTGCAGGCGCGACACCGAGGGTTGCAATCCCGTTACCGGTCACGAAAAAAAGACAAAAAGGAAAAAAAAAATTTGCAAAAGGACAGCGAGGGCAAATTTGTCTTTAATCTTGGTGTACAACTTCCAAGAACCTGGCTGCCTGGAAACTTAATTCAGCCCCTTCCTATCTCTGGTTCATCACACCGAGTCTCTTGTTGGCCTTAGTATTCATTATGACCCTTACATGTGCGATAAAGCTCTTCCCATCCAGACCCCAACCCTGAATCACGTTGCTCTGCAACTAGAGTTGATGGGGGGAAACCCATCTGGACTAATGGCACATGAATTTGTAGTGGACTTTTAAAGTGGGTGATATGTGGTTTAATTTTGTGCTACAGATATTCCAAAACCCCACCCCCGGCAAATAACTGCCTTGAACTTTCCAGAGAAAAATTAAGGCATATAGGATGAGTTTCCATACTCTATTTGCAAATGTTTATTTCACCATAGTCTGTAGCCTGCAGTATAAAATGTTTTTCTATGCCATAGTTAATATCTCCAATTTCTGGTTTTGGTCCCAGCTATCCCTTCAGTCCCAACCCCAGTGTTTTTACCTCCACTGGTTCCCACCCCACTGTCCATGCATACAGGTTTCCTTTTTTATAAAATTCTAAAGTTGACCTTTATACAATGTTTCTTGTACTCACTTTTCATGAGTAGTCTTGCCGTCCATCTGTACTTCCTCACTGCTGTTTATACATATCACACAACTCAAGTACTGCATTCCTAGAAGGCATTTATTAACACAAGGGCCTTATTGGTGATATAGTAGAATCCCTCATTTTTTAAGACCCACTCTCATAGAACAGTATTAATAAAACATTTCTTAGCTGATGTTTATATAGGAAAAATTTATGTTTACAACCTGAAACTCAATTCAACATTTTTTTTTTTTTTTTGTCTTTTGTCTTTTTCCGTGTCCAGCAACGGACCGCAACCCTCAGTGTTGCCCCCGTACCGGACCGGGGACCGGCAACGGGATTGCAACCCTCGGCGTTGCTCCCGCGCCTCGCTCAGCCAGTGACTCTGGTTCCAATTGGATCTGAATTATAACTCAAACCTTTTCTCCTTTCATCTTATTTAAAATGTTGAATTGAGGGGCCGGCCCGGTGGCGCACTGCGCTAGTGCGCCGCTTGGGAAGTGCGGCGGCGCTCCCGCCGAGGGTTCGGATCCCACATGCAGACCGGTTCCCGCTCACTGGCTGAGTGAGGCGCGGGGGCAACACCGAGGGTTGCGATCCCGTTGCCGGTCCCAGTCCGGTACGGGGGCAACACTGAGGGTTGCGATCCGTTGCCGGACACGGAAAAAGACCAAAAAAAAAAAAAAGATTGAGACCACGAAAGCAAAACAGAAGAAAGAAGTGATGATTTGGCTTTTACATGATCTTTACGTGGGATGTGGTGGTGGTATGACATCACTTGCAGTTTAAATGATAATATGCTGAAGTGAAGCTGACCTACCCTAACTGCCTGGGCTATATACACTTTCCTCCCAACCTTGGCCCTTTGGATTTCATCTCCTTGAAGTAGAGCTGAAAACTCAGGTAAAGGCTCAGCCTCCTTTTCACATGGTTACCAAGAGACATCACAATAAGATTGAGTTTTACTAGGCATTAGAAGGAAAATCAAGGCCTGGGCAAGCAGAGTCCCTTTTTCATTATCATTCTCTTTCCCAATAAGCAATGAGAGAGGGGAGGTTTGTTAAAGGAATTACTTAAGACTTGAAAGCCAGAATTCTTCATAATTTTGATTGGCAGAGCTAAAGTAAACCACTCTGTATTGCTTATTTCTTGTGAGCTCTGATAGATCCAAAGGAAGTTCTTTCAGCGACCCAAGAGAAACAATTTATCTATAATCTGTAAATTTCACATATCTCTTAGGAGTAAAAAGTTCATGGAAAGATTTGTGTTATCTTTTAATTCTATTTTTCCACAAGCTTTTTGAAGTACCCTTGTAGAAATTACAAGCATTTCTAATAGGACATATAAATTTAGCTTCGCAAGTTAACATATTTTAGAATTTCATGCCATTCCAAAGGGGAAGACTGAATTTAGAACAGCCCCATTATCTTCTATTAAAAATTTAAAAGCCCCCAGGTAGGGTGCCCAAAGTGCCTCTAACCTTCGGAGTTTAAGGGCATTACACAAAGGATGTGTTCCAATCAGAGAAACTAGATGGATTTTGTTGAACGAAGAATCCACTTAGGAGGGAACATAAGGAATATTAATAATATCTATCCAGGCCAAATATGAATTATTGTATCCTCAAGTCAAAGGACAAGGTCTACGCCAAGCAGAGACCTGAAGGTAATTATCCAAATTCGTGGGCTGGCATACACCTGCAGAAACAAACGAGAGCCCTCCCCCACCCCCTTCATGATTTGCAGATATGTTGCTGAGATAAAAGTGGCTCCTTAATGTCGTCTTTGGGAGCACATAAACCCCAGCAAAAAAACTAATTTTGAAAATAAAAATGAAGGTATTGTTATGTGGAGGTGGTGGTCTTCATGGAGTAAAAAAATCAAAAGGTAGGAATTTGTTAGTGTTTATCCAATACAGCATTGTCCTCATCTTTAGAAAGGTAAACTGAGAAAGATTCTCTAAGTTTCATGGCAATCCAGATCAAATACATCACAAAATTATTCAGTCCTTTCATTAAGATTCCAGGCTCATTACTCCCACTTCGGTGAAGATATTCACAGTTCAGGTACTAGAAAGAAGCCAGGTCCATTACCAGTTTTAGAACTGAGCTGTGACCCATTTGAGGGCTGTTGAATTAATTTGTGAGTAGAGACCAATATTTTTTTAAATGCCATAAAATAGAAAACAGCGCAACACAAGCAGAAAGGGTAAGCAGTGGCTTGAGAACAGTTTCATGTAAATGCATGCAACAGGTGTGTGTGTGTGTGTGTACTGGGTCCCAATATAAAATATAACTTTTTCCTGTGGGAAGCAATCAAAAAAGTTTGAGATACATACTATTTCTAGTGCCTTTACATCACTAGAATGATATTCCCAATTATTAATACACTGGTATTTTGGTTTGTATATCACTCTTGAGTTTGACCAGCAGGAATCAATTCACCAAAACCCTCAAAGCCAAGAAGCAGGCCTTGGACTTCTGGTGACCCAATTCATAGCCTGGAAACTCTGTGTGGCCATGAGTTCTGTTACTGCTTCTCAAGGAAATCTTACGTACATAAAACAAACTAGAAACTGAACTTTTTGAAAAGGGGTAGTAAGTACTCCGTTTTCTCATCTTGTTGCTTTATTCAGTTTGCTCCAAGGGCAAAATCAATAGTAGTAGGGATCACAAACATTACTTTGATTGGCTCAGAAGCCTCATCAGTAAAACCTGAAAAACAGAAAATGTTACACAAGTTGCAAAGAAAGCACTCCTGCAGTTCACTGACATGATAGCAAGTGGAAAGAATACATATGCAACAGGTGTTAACATTTAGAACAGTACTTGTGACCTGCTCATTAGCCTAGACAATTCTGGGACCCTTGTTGCAAACCCTTCATATACATCACTGCTGATTTCCTTTGACATGAAATACGACTTTACAAAACTCTTCCTAGACCTTACTCTTGCTGCACTTGAGTGGTTCCTATTCCTACGGCGCTGGCGTATGCTGTCAGGATTTCCACTATCTGTTTAGTTTCTAGGGTCATTCGGGCTTCCTTCAGCCAGTCCTGTGCCACTCGTCTGGACTCCCCTTTCAGCTGATTGACAAATTTTGCTGCCAGCTCCAGATCACCATGCTCAATGCAATAGGAGGCATATGACAGTAATTTAAAAGTATTTATATCTTCAGGGCAGAGCTCCGCTGGTGGCTTCAGTTGC